TCAATTTTAAGCATTTGGAGCAAAGAGTAGCAAAATGGTGGAAATTTGGAGCCAAAATGAAGATTTTCATGATCCTGGCGCCAGATTGGCACCTGAAGTGCCATTTTCCATAGAGCTGACGCCATTTTACAGAGAAGTGGTGCTAGAAGGGCCAGATTGGCTCCAAAAGGGCCAGATTGGCTCCAGAAGCGCCATAATCCAGAGAACAACACAGACTTCATTAGGTTGGTGCCAGAGGCACTAGATTGGAGCCAGAAGCACTAGATTGGAGCCAGAAGCACTAGAGACAAATTAAGATGCAGCAAGTTGGTTTGTGACTATATTTGAGCGGATTTTGAAGGTTGCAAACATTTCAAACATCTCATGGAGTGGTTCATTGCATTTAGACACTTTGTAAGGCTCTTTAATGAACAGATATGTCTCTTAGATGAAGGGACTTATCTCTTAGTACAAAAAGATGTGACTTTTGGGGGAAAAATTGAAGGGAATTTTGAATTCCTTTTGGGCCCTAATTAAAAAGAAGAGAGGTATTGAGAATAAAGGGGGGGGGCGTGAGATCGAGAGAAAGGTTTTGGCTTGAGAGAGAAAGGAGGATTTTCTTCTCGGGTTGTAAGAGGAGAGGGAAGGTGAGAGATTTCTTCTTCATTACACTTCTAAGAGAGAATTGAGTGTGATTGTAAAGAGAGAAAATGTAATCAATGTGGTTGTGCGCAAATAAATAGGGAAATATACTTTTATGGGCGCAAAATTGAGGATTTTAAGGTGACAGATTAAAATCCCTGATTAAAATCCCTTTAAAATCCCTAATTTGGTCCAGTTGCTTAGAAACTAAAGCGAGATTGTTAGCCCTTAGGTGAAGAAGAATTGAGAGCTCTGGAGTGACATCCAGTATCCTCTCAACTTAACCACAGATTTAGGAACCAAACTCTGGATTAGTCAATGTTCTTTATGCACTCTCCGAGGGTAAAGAATATGATTACTCCTATTTGACACAACACAATTTTATATATGTATTTTAAATGATTTTAATTTCATCATATTCGATAAACTCATTGTTAAGGGGAATAATGCTTTCTTAAATTTGAACTCTTCATTTCAAAACTTTGTTAAGTCTTTATAAGTTTACTTTTAAAGTTTAGTAATTAGTTTAGTTAACTTAGTTTTCTTAACTACATTTCGTTTATCGCACATTAAATTTACTTTAAATTTGTTTTGCTCACTTAAGTTTTATAGTTTGAATATCGTGTTTGATGTTATAACCATAAGAATTTCCAACTCTATATGGGATCGATACTTAGGACTCCATTAGAGTTCTTTATTACTTGAGCGATACGTATATTTGCGTTATTATTACGAGTTTAACAGCTTAGAGATTTTACAAGATAAAATTATTTATACTGAATTTTTTTTTATTGGTATTGAACTGCATATTTACTATTAGTGCTAGCCGACCACACATCAATTGCATGTTCACTACACCTTTTAGGATGTTGAATCTTAAAATGACTTGTGGATCACACCCAAGGAATAAAATGTTGGTAGGATAAGAGTAAAGAGAGTGGAAAAAGGGGGCTTAAGTGATATTAGATTTCTTGGAATTTATCCAATAGACTTTTTTCATGAAAATAACCCTCCTGTTTTTAAGTTAAAGGAAGGGTATAGTAAATTATATGATTGCCGCTCTTTTAATGTCAACTTTACAGTCATTTATGAATCATTACACCTTTACATATTTGTTACTAACTTAAACATGCCTTGACCCTGTAATCTTTGTTGGCGTCATTTCATGTTTGTAACTGTATTCAACACCATTACGAGCTGCCGAATGACTTACAGTTGCATTCTTCGAACGGAATTTATTGTAAAGGTTTACTGTGCTTGGAAAGGATTGTTCCATCAAGCAGAAGAAACATTACCATAATCTAACAAGTAGCCTTCATTTGATCGATGAGCATGTGTAAAAGGAATTCCCTCTGGGTGATTTTTGATCTCCCTAATGCTAGATGGTGGTTGACTAGTCGTCGTCTTCGACGTGCTTTGTTCTTTGGTTCGGTCAGACTTTCGTTCGTTCGGCCTAAGATTCGGCCGACTGGTGCAATGATGAATATTCACACTTCTGCTTTATTCTTCGCGCAAGCCGTTGGATCTTCTCTAGATTTGTGTAGCTATATTTTTGATGTATAATAAAAAATAAAGCTAGTTTCACCACCAGAAAAAGATTGAAATTGGAAAATTTATCACTTGACATTGAGATCATCAAAACTTCATTCACAACCAAATTTAATCTCAATGATTGTCTTGATAAGAGAAATTAAATGATTTCACCAAACTATAATTATAAACTTCATGAAGCTTGAGAGACCCCCGTTAAATTTTGTGTGCTTCAAAATGAGGATTTTGATGAAAAAAACCTAATCAAGATTGCAGAATCATATGATCATTAAAGCATTATAATATTAAGAAAATACTAAACAAACAAGAAAGATTTATTTCGACTGTTAAACAAAATGTCTAAGATTATGACGTTCTTGACATGAATTCTCCCACCAAAATATATAACCGACCACTTCTACACATTTGAGAAGGGCAAGAGAGGAGATTTATAGGAGTTAGAAAGTTCTAAAGACTTACATGTCATCATTCTATGTTCATCACTGACCAAAAAAAAAAGTTTGATGCCTACCAACAACATCATTGTTAAATAACAACACTAATTTTTGCTATTTGTTACTTGCTAGGAACCAACAAAGATTAATGCATACCATTCATCTCTAACTAACACCAACATTCATAATCTTGCAATCCCATCTATTTTCATGACAAATGATGCATTTACAATTTTCAACCTACTTTGTGGAACTATTGTACTTAGGCTAAGCCCGAGATTTTTTCTTTTCTTGTTTTTGCACGTAAAAAGATCTCATGTCTCATATGAGCTAAAATTTATTTATCTTTGTGTTTGTCAGCAACTCATGTTATAAATTCTAGCATGTAGTAGCTCTACAGAAGTTACAATTAAATTAAAAAAATCATTTTTAAAATTTCTCACATACACAACACCCTCTTATGTATTTACATATCTAACATTTAAATATACTGTTTTACATTTATGAAATCTAAAATTTTTATTTCACATAAAAAATATCAATATTTTAACTTTTAAAGAGTGAACTACATATTTTCATGCATATTTAAGGTGAAATCTATCTAAAAGTTGATGCTTAGATGCTATATATGTAAATACATAAGAATTGAGTGGTATGCATGCAAAACATTCCTATAAATTTTATTTTAGGGATATTTACATATTTGACATCTAGACTTTAATATCTGCATGCAAAATATATTTGTGCTTTAATCTTATATTTGAAAATGTGCATTTCATTATTAAAAAGTGATAATAATGACATTTTTAATATCATATTAAAAATTTAAATGGTATGTGTAAATTTAAAAGTTTAGGTGAGATATATAAATACATAAGAATTGTGTGCAATGTCGTAAATGCCCTTTATTTTATTTTATTTTTGGGTTTTTCCATGTCTATTGGGTCAGGCAATTCAAATTTTTTTAATGAACCATTAACTAATAGAATTGGGCAACATTTACTAATAAATTAATTAATAAATGACTTATGGTGTGTTTGGGGCAGCTTGTGCGTTTCAGGATAAACTGTTAATCCTTAAACGCGGCTCATGGGTCGACCGTGTGGTTCAACCCGCAGCCTGCGTTTAGTGTAAAAATGGAACTGCGTTTTCGGATAAGCGCGTAAAACGTGCAATCCAAACGGTACCGCGAAGTTTTCAAAAATATCCCCGTACTTATAAGTTGCCCCAAACGGGCCCTTAATTTGTTGTTTTTAAATAATAATGAGTGGTTGCGGTATCCCAACCCTATGCTAATCTTATTATTAGCTGTTACTCGTGTAAATGCTTTTGAAGTCAAATAAGAAATCACACGGGCGAAATTGTGGTGGTGTCTACGGGGTGTAAATGAGCCGAACATTTTCAAGATAAATTGCTAATCCTTAAACGAGGCCTGCGGGTCGACCGTGTGGTTCAACCCGCAGCTTGCGTTTAGTGTAAAAATGAAACTGCGTTTTGGAATAAGCGCGTAAAACGCGTAATCCAAATGGTACCACGACGTTTTCAAAAACACCCCCGTACTTATAAGTTGCCCCAAACGGGCCCTTAATTTGTTGTTTTCAAATAATAATGAGTGGTTGCGGTATCCCAACCCATGCTAATCTTATTATTAGCTGTTACTCATGTAATTGCTTTTGAAGTCAAATAAGAAATCACACGGGCGAAATTGTGGTGGCGTCTAGGAATTGCTTTTGAAGTCAAATAAGAAATCACACGGGCAAAATTGTGGTGGCGTCTAGGGGCTCAGCTCGTGTTCGACTCGTTTATATTTCGAGCTCAAAAAGAGTGTTCATGTTTGGCTCATTTCCTTAGCGAGCCGAACACGAGCGTTCACGAACAACGAGTATGTATATATATATATATATATATATATATATCTATGTATGTATGTATGTATATATATATATATATATATATATATATCTATGTATGTATGTATGTATATATATATATATATATATATATATATCTATGTATGTATGTATGTATATATATATATATATATATATATATATCTATGTATGTATGTATGTATATATATATATATATATGTATGTATGTATGTATATATATCTATATATATGTATGTATGTATGTATATATATATATATATATGTATGTATGTATGTATATATATATTAGTATTTGGAGTAAAAAATAGTTGCACAAGAATAAATAAATATTAGTTCATGTTGTTCATATTCGATTCATTAACTTAGCAAAGATGCCGAACACAAACTTCTTAACAGCTCGAGCTGTTCTAAGTCAAAAGTGACGTCTCACGTGCGATTCCCGAGTCCCGCGCATGTTTCTCAAGCGTTCAGCGTGCGAGCCAAAATTTCTGGTGGGGGCGTTTTGAAAGTTTGAACACTCCATCATTCACCTCGCCACCGCGGCGTTTGCTTCTGCATTCCGCTCACTATCAGCGCGTAACCCCTAACTCGCATCTGTTGACCACCCGTGCTTTCGCCGGGTTTCTGTTTGGTGGGGACTGATATCAACTTAAAATACCATCCATCGCCGCCGGTCTATCGGATTTAATTCTCATAGAGAGATGGACCGCCGGTTTTCGCGGAGCGGGCGGGCGAAGAACGGAGCGAGGGGATCTTATTACGCCGGTTCTAGGGTTGGGAGGCTGGCGTCTTCCACGACTCAGGTTTTTTCGACGGAGGGTCAGTTTTCGTCTTCTCCGGTTTCTACTGGTCCTGTTATTTCCTAAGGTTTTAATTAATGTTCTCGCTATTCTTTGCTTGATTCCAATAATATGCATTGGCCTGTAGGACATCAAGCTCTAGGGTTATAGAAATACGAGTGGGGCATTTAGTGCTTTATTTGTTTTGGAGGAGGATCAAATTAGGTTCCGTATTGGTGCTGAAAGTTTAGGAGTTCGCGGGTGAGTTAAAATTTGATTCATTTCTACATCTTCTTAACTGATGCATGGGGATGGTTGGATGATGTGTTTGCTGATAATTACATAAGTTTGTGGATTTTTTACTGGAATATTCTCGAATTAATATGTAGTTCTTGTAGGTTTGTTTGATGGAGCCAACCTAAAACCTCTTTCTCGCACTCACTCCACTCTACGCTTTTTTTCCCTGAAAAGTGATGTTGATCTGGACAATCCAAAATTGTAAAAGCCTTATCTCCACCTTTCTTGCATGATAAATTCTGAGATGTATTGTGATATACCTGGGTTTTAATGAAATCATAGTGCCAGTTGAAGCTTTCTTAACATGACATAGTCTTTATATCGTACTTATTCCACTCAAAGACACATCCAACTTGGTTAACGGAGTAGTTAATTTCTTTTATTCTGTTTAACAAATGGTTTCGTCCATATTTTCTGAGCTGCAATCTACTCCGTTTGCTCAGCCCTGTAAAAAATTATTCATGCTCGGTAAGATTACTGCTGTTTTCAATGGTAGTTAGAAATGTATTTTAAATTTGAAGCATAACTCAAGGAACCATCTTCATTATGTATCCAAACTAGCTAGTTTCTTTGATTTATCTAGAGGAAATCGATACTTTGTACCTTAAATTTTTTTTTTAATCTTGAATAGTATGTTTATTGATTCTTGCTTTATCATGCGCTTGCCAGCATGTATTTTTATTCTTATACTCACAGAATTCTCATTATGTTAGTTAACTCCTTGTGCTTCTTGTTTGACTTTGTGGCAAACAATGCATGATTAATTCTGGATTGGCTATGATTTATGTAACAAATGAACATCACTTTTCATGTTCCCAATCATTATTATAATCCTTGAATATATTATCTGCCAATTTATTATATATAAGCATGTTTTGTATTATTTATCTGATGATTTTATTCATATAATCAGATTTTCATTTCTATTTAATTTTTTGTCGATAACCATAAATGCCTAGTTGCTTGTGAGAGAATGCCTTTTGTCTTAAGAATTTGATTTGGCAATAGTGACCTAATGCTTAAATTTGCGCAAGTAGGTACCGAGTAAATTGTCATTCGTAAAGCAAGGCTTAAGGCTCAAGACATTTTGAAGCCTATGCCTTAGGTTTAATAAGAATATAATAAGTAATCAATATTCATATTTTTAAGTTTAAAGTCTCTTTTACTCTGATCACCCAATTGATTTTTATTAGAATAATCAACATAATAAATTATTTCTTTTGCGTCTTATCACTAACCATAAGTATATTTTGTCACTCCTCATTGTCTTCAATCCCAAAAATCTTCTATTTTTTAATGAATAATCATCCATAAAAATATTTATTGAAATTGATAGTGATAACTTCCAACTACATTCATTTTTATGAATATCTTTCCTTTTATTTTTTGTTATTTAGTGTGTCAGGCGTGAGGGTTAATTTGTGAGGTATATTGATGTTACTTTTGGCTTTGTTAAAAAAATTACGGATAACATAAAAAAATTGAAGAGTTTTTTGAGGCAAGTGTCTGCCTAAGCTTGGGTGAGTTGTACACTCACCCTAGGGTAATGGGGCGTCAACCTCATTATGTTTTTTTTGTAAAAAGTGTTGAGGTGGGCCTCAAGATGCACCTCATATTCCATAATTTTAAACAAGAGGCAAAACAAATTCCTACTGAAAATGGGCTTTAGTCTAGAGGGTAAAGGCTGAGGCATGCATGAAAGATAAAATTAAATAGATAAAGCATGTTATCTGTCTCAACCATCTCTCATACCATTCATTTCTATTTATATTATCCTATGTTGTGTGAGTTGAATTTCCAATATAAACATGCTATTGTTTTATACCTCCATTTAATCTTTTGTTGGCGTAATTAATTTTCTTGTTGATTAATTAGCATTTCAAATGCGTAATGAATTAAGAAAGTGAAATTTTTTTTCATTTCTGGAAGGTTCTTGTCTTACTAAACTCTTTAATATTATTTTAAAAACTAAAAAGATGCATGAGGAGTGGGAAAGAGTATTTTGGTCCCCATTTTTAAGAATAAAATGGATACACAAGAGTCTGCCAATTATAGAGGAATTAAGTTGATGTGTCATACTTTAAAATTATGGGAGAGAGTAATTAAACACAGGTTAAGATGTATTACAAAGATTTCTCACAATCAATTTGGATTTATGCCGGGCAGGTCTACTATGGAAGATATACATTTATTGAGAGGCTTAATTGGAGATGTTCATAGATAATAAGGAGGATCTACATATGATTATTATTGATTTAGAAAAAACTTACGATAAGGTTCCAAGAGATATCCTTTGGAGAGTTCTTGAGAAGATTATATTCAAGTCATTAAAGATATGAATACAAGAACTGTTACTTGTGTTCGAACAGGAGGAGGATTGACCAAATATTTTTCCTATTTCGGTTGGTTTACATCAGGGATCGGCTTTAAGCCCATATCCTTTTGCTTTAGTTATGGATGGTCTTACTGAACACTTATAGGATAATGTGCCATGGTGTAAGCTTTTTGCTGATGATATCCTTCTCGTGGATAAGACGAGAGATAAAGCTCAGAAAAAACTTGACTTATAATCTACCTTGGAGTCTAAAGGCCTTCGTTTGAGTAGAACTAAATCTGAATAAATGGAAGGTGATCAAATTATTAAAAGGTGTGAACGCTCTAGATATTTCGGGTCTATTGTTCAAAGTGATGGTGATATTGTTGGGTATGTTATTAGTAGAATTCAAGTTGGTTGGTTGAAGTGGAGGAATGCTTCAGGATATTATGTAATAGAAAAGTTCTGCTTAGATTGAAAGGAAATTTTATAAGATGGTGGTGAGACCTGCAATGCTATATGACACTAAATGTTGGCCTTTGAAAGAGAAGCATAAAACTAAGTTAAGTGTTACCGAGATGAGAATGATTAGGTGGATGAGTGGCTTTACACTTAAAGACAAAATGAGAAATGAATATATCCGTGATAGGGTTGGTGTAGCTCTAATGACGGACAAAATTAGAGAGAGTTTTCTTAGATGGTTTGGTCACATTAAACGTCGACCATCTGATGATCCGATTAGAAGAGTAGATAATGAGAGAAGAGCTCAAGAGAGTGAGAGCAAGAAAAAGAGACATAGAAACGAGGAGAGAGAGAGATAGAAACAGAGGGAGACAGAAAAGGATAGTGTGAAGAACTAGAGTGTGGTGATAGAAAATAAGCTTCAGAGAGAGGTGAAAAGGCATGGAGTGAGGGAGGGTGACACAGAGAGAGGGAGTGAGAGAAGTAGGAAGGGAGAGTGAAGAAAGTAAGATAAAAAGAGAGAAGACTATTACTAGAGATAAGAGAGACAGCAGGAAAGAATAGAAGAAAGAGTGAGAGAGATAGATTGACAAAGCAAGTGAAAGAGACAAAGGTAGACCTAAGATGACTTGGGCATATTGTATAAAAAATAATCTTGATTTATTAGAATTAAATGAAAATATGACACTAACTTGGATGCAATGGAGAAAAATGATTCATGTAGCCGACCCCACTTAATGGGATAAAGGTTTTGTTGTTGTTCTTGTCTCCAAGGTTCTACATAAGAATTATTCATGATTGGTTTGTAGAACCTTCTGAGAAAAGTTTAATAATTATTCTTTTGGTTTTGTTATTAAGATATTTGATGGTGGATCTGGGGACTATTTGAGGAACTTGTGCCACTGTACAATTTCTATATTGATCCAACTTCAAGGCAACTAGATGGCACAATTAAGCAATGTTATTGTTATGTAAATATGAGATAAATAATATATTTGGGTGGAAGATGCTGGAGATGGTCATATTAATGCATGTTTACGGGCAAGTTCTTTTATAGTATTATGTTCAATCTTCATTTGGCTAAGTCTGTTGCCACTAGCTCTCAATCAAGAAAAGGGTTTGGATTATCTGGGAAATTTCTGTTGGAAACCCCCACTTGAACGTGCATCATCTCTCACAATAGAACACCATTTGCAAACAAATATTCCCAATTAGAATAGTGTTAACTTTGTTTTGCAAGCGGCTTTACATATAAGCCATTAACTTATGTATTTATGTGTATGTGTGTGTGCGTGTGTCTATATATATATGTGTGTGTATATATATATTAGACCCTAAACCCTAAATATATATATACACACACATATATATAGATACACACACACACACAAACACACACACACACACATATATATATATATATATATATA